AAGAAATTTGATTTCGATGTCAATATGGCTCCTACTTGTTGGGGCGTAACCTATATGTATTTTAACTGTTTCAAAGAGTAACAGTTTTTCATCCATACCTGTATAAAGTACTGTGTACCTGTATAAAGTATACTGAGTGAAAAAATATATATTTTCGTCATCGAAGACGAGTCTCGATGACACCTTTGGGCTCCTGTGTGCCGCCTGATGGTCTGAGCATATACAGGATGAGCGGATGTGTGCAAATATATTCAGGGCTACTGGTATTAGAACTCGATAAAAGAAACATATTTTCTCTTTACCGTTTTTTAAGTACAATTAAATTAAGTCCAAAATAACCGAGTTATTTTACTTTGAAAATAAAAAAAAGCTTAAATTTTTCAGAACCGCTGGCGCTGGATCTTTTTTTGGGGTTTGTTTCTTGTAAATTTAATCTACTACCTATGTTGTCATATTATGAAGAAGTTATGTTTTTTAACTAAAAACTAAAAGAAATTTCATAATATTCCAAATTAAAAAAAAAATGGCTAAAGAAACCTCGTGTTTCTGGAGTCGAAATACGCTACCGCTAAAAATATTTGCACTAATTTAATACTCATCCTGTATTAATGAGCTCTTCAATTGTAGATTGACGAAGAATTATGCCTCGAATACAGTTCGAGTAAATATACAAGGAAAGGGTCCGCCTCCGTCAAGCCTTTATTTATTAGATTTTTTCAGTAAGCATACATAAAAGAATAATTATTCTACACTAGACAACTATTGCATTTTCTATAACTTGAATTAAAAATTCAGACCTATCCAGTTTATGAAAACAAAAACACACAAGGTTTAGCTACAAAACACAATACAGCTTCTGACTCTTCCTCATCCTGCAGCTCATTAGTGATTAAGTAGTCCCAATCGGCCCCGTCCGGCTTGATTAAAGGACCACAGAAGCGACTCGGGCAGCAGTAGTAGTCGGCATTCAGCGAAAATCGCCTCGGGAATCGTCGGCGAGGTGCAAAAGCAAACGTTCACCAACGCCTCCTTGCGTTGACCGACGAATTAAAGTCGGGCAGAGAGCTAATAGAGCTGCACTTTGCGCTCGGCAGCAGAGGCGAAAAAGAGTACAGAGAAGAAAGGAAAAACGCAATTGAATTAGGGGAGAGTTTTTGGAGCGGAGGTTTTGGGACTGTTTTTTACGAGTTAAAACAAGTTAAAAATACCCAAACGGTATTGTAGTCTCTTCAAATACGCTTAATTTTCTTTTCAGTTTTTAGGTGCAAACACTTGTTTTATCAGAATCTTCAATTCAATTTTCAGTTCATGACAGTCAATACAACTAAGAACAATTGCAGAAGATACGTGGGAAAAATATTTCAGAGACTTATACGCAGAAACAGATGAACCAATGGAAGCACAGGAGACAAGCCAAAGAGATAATACAGAATATCATGCGCAAATCACTTACAAGCAAGTAGAAGAGACAATAAGGAAACTTAAAAATAGAAAATCTCCTAATCAAGATTAAATACCAAACGAGCTAATAAAAAACGCAGGCACGGCTATCATAGAGGAATACACAAAACTGTATAACATTATATTACAACATAAGAAAATACCAGAAGAATGGAAACAAAGTATAACAATACCCATTTTTAAAAAGGGAGATAAAACAGACCCAGCAAACTATAGAGGAATAACATTACTGAGCACCTCGCTAAAATTTCTGACTAAGATCATTGCGGGCAAAATCTCCTCAATAGTGCCAATAAGCGAGGAACAACAAGGATTCCGAAGAAACCGATCAACTACCGATGCACTATTCATACTCAGGCAACTAGTTGAAAAATCCTTAGAACATAACTCTCCAGCCTATCTATGTTTTATAGATTTAACAAAGGCCTTTGATAGAGTCCAACTAAAAGACATCATCACCATCTTGGACTCACAAAACTTATCAAGGACTTAAACACAAACACAACAACCCAAATAAGAACAAACTTTACCTTAACGCAGCATCTTCGAACTACAACTGGTATTCGCCAAGGCGACAGCCTCAGCCCTCTGTTATTCAACACAATCATGGATCAAGTAATAAAAACCGTCAAGAATACTAGATTAGGATATCGAATGGGAATGCATAAAGTAAACATATTATGCTATGCCGCTGACGCAGTACTTATTGCAGAGTCAGAGGACGACTTCCAAAGAATGCTACAAGCTTTTAACAGACAGGCAGAAAAACTTAACATGTAAATTTCCACAAATAAGACCAAATGCATGACCATTACAAAGGAGCCTCTACGGTGCAAATTGGTAATAAAAAACAAAACTATTGATCAGATAATGTCATTCGAATACCTCGGATGCAAAATTACAAGCTCAGGATTCCTGGAAGAAGAAGTAAGGAAACAAGCCAATAAAGCTGCCGCAATATCAGGACATCTTAAATATCCCATATGGAAAAACAAGCATTTGAGTACAGAATGTAAGTCAAGAATATACAAAACCTGCATACGATTAGTGATGACATATGGTGCGGAAACCAGAGCTGAAACATCAGTAACAAAGAGAATCCTACGAACTACTGAAACGAAGACCTTAAGAATGATAACTGGATACACATTGAGGGACAGACAGAGAAATGTAGACATAAGAGAAAAGTGCCAAACAAACGACGTTGTCAGATGGATAAGGCAGAGAAGAAGAGAATGGAACCAGCATGTCAATAGAATGGGCCCCGACAGAATGGCCATAATAATTCGCAACAACGTATCCCATGGCAGAAGACCTACTGGACGACCACCTAAACGTTGGCAAGACAGTTGGCAGTCAACCTCGCAAGAGTTGCTTAGACGTGGAGGAAACCGGAACTAAACATGCGATACGCCTTCTAAAAGAAGAAGAAGAAGAATTTTCAGTTGCTGTGATCATATACAGTTCATACCAAATAAACTTTTAGTCACGTGATTAAACTTGACCGGAACAGCGTTGCCTACTTTTATATATTTTCTTTTTAATCAAAATATTTTAGGAAACAAAAATATATTAATTATAAATATATAAACATTATTACATCAGCAAAACCCAATTTCTTAAAAGCACTTAAGGGACATAAAGGCGCATTACTACAGCTTTCCAGTTCAACATATTCTAATAAAGTTGCGATGAGTTTTTTACGGCTATTGAGCTATCTTGTACACTTCGCACTAAAAGTTCGGAAGTAAAAAGAACAATGTTCGACTGCTAGGTCTGCTAGTAAACATTTATAAGCTTAAGATATCACAACACTATTTATTTAAACCAAAAAGTCGTAATACGAAACTAAAGTGTCAAAACGAATGACAATGTCAGGAAATAAATAAATAAATTCGGCAACTTGACATTTTTTACAGCAGAGCTACCACCTGAATCCCAAACACGAAATTTAAATTCCAGTTAGTCAACACGACGCCGAATATGTCCATGGTTGGCAACAATGAATTTAAAAGTCGCGCCCTTGATTACGTAACTAAAAGTTTAATTGATATGAAATATAGACACTTCCGTAATAAAACAAACAAATTACAAGAAGCAGAAAAGGGGCCAAAAAACCCTACATATACACTTATTCTCTGCATTAGAGGTGGGTTGTGAAATCGCAGTCCGCTACTTTGTCACAGCTCCACCAACGTCGCAGTATGTGACTGCTCCAGTTCCAAGAAAATCGCAGTGACATTTCGGAGCAGTTTACAAGTTTAGGACATCTGCGCTCGCGAGTAGCAATAGGAGCAATAGCAGGCAATAGTGTAAATTCTGAAAATGCTCCTAGCCCCGTCGCACGGTCAGACTGTTCCAGTCACAGTCGTCGCAGGTCGCAGTCGACTGGAGCATAGTATATTGAGTATATTCTGTGTACTGGAGCTGTTGGTATTGTAAAAAAATATAGCAACAACTATCAAACTAAGACATTAGTATAGTACCGTACAGCCGCGATTTTAAGAGCTCTAGGGGCCCGTAGTTCGGAAAAGTTCGAATCTTGTTCGCAAGGGCCCGGGAGGCTTGGGGCCCGTCGGTGACTTACCCCGATTGCACAGACGTTAAAATCGCCACTACTGATCGAAATAAAAAACGGCGTCCAGTTGGCTTGGAAATGACAATCGATAACATTCCCCATAAATTTTACATATAAAATGCCAGCAATCTTCATTTCATAGCTATCGCTGACGCCGTTTTTTCGATCATACGATATAAATAAATAAAAACTAGACGATGATGTTGCCTATCATAATCACACCTATAGTCCTGTACTTTGTTAGTAAATGCAACGAACGGTGCCGAACACCGAGTGCGATTTTTCGGAGCAATTAACCTATAAAACTACATTTTTAATTTATAGGTTAATTGCTCCGAAAAATCGCTGCTACTTGTCACAGTGCTTTTATTGGAGCAGTCGCAGAGCGTAGCAGCTCCACAAAAATCGCAGACTGGCCCACCTCTACTCTGCATTAAGTTCATCCATGATACAAAGAATACAAGGTATGATATTGCGCAGGTTGATCACTACGTCACAGGTGATAAACGGCACCATTGGTCGGCAAGTTCCGCGCGCCAATTTCAAATTGTCCAACAGATGTCACAATAAATGTCAAAATAATTTTTCAAATGTCAAGCACGATGATTTGACATTGTGGCGGATCGATATCGACAATCCCATCCATGCTAGGGCTGTGCATAGAATCCCGAGCGAAGTCTATCGGTGCCAAGAAGAAAAGAAGAAGAAGAGCGGCATCGGCTGACAAATAAGACATAACGTGTTTTCAATAATTATTTTATTGTAGAATAATTATTTAGTTGTGTAATTAAAGAGCAGATTGAACACGTCCCTTTATTTTATGGACTTTTGAGTTGTGAAAAATCTAAACAGTAAACCCAGCTGATTTCAGATTATCATATTCACACCCAGAACAACCATATTGGTGACCCCGACGTGATCCAAGAAGCTTGAAATTACAATCAATACCAACCAACCAAACATGCAAACAAACAATCCAGAAGCTAGCACTACTCAAACAAACAATTCCAATCAATCAACAAACAACCAACCAATAAATGAACTGTGCAGAGTCAGTTTCAAACCCCCCGAATTCTGGAAAGCTGAGCCAGAACTATGGTTTTACAGAATTGAATGTCAGTTCCGAACTGCTGGGATTTCAACTGACGATTGCAAGTTCGACTATACAGTTGCCAGCCTAAACTGCGAAACACTTACGGAAGTAGCCGACCTTATACGCAGTCCACCGGCAACAGACAAGTATTCAGCACTCAAAAATCGTTTAATTAGCAGATTTGCAGATAACGATACAGTCAGAATCCAAAAACTGCTTGCAGGAGTTGCATTGGGAGATCAGAAACCTTCACAACTCCTACACAAAATGCAGAGCCTAAATAACAATAAATTACAAGACTCTGTCATTAAAACTCTTTGGTTAGAGCAGTTACCATCTACAATGAAGGCCATATTAATGGTAAGTGGCGAAGATCTAACAAAATTAGCTGAAATAGCTGACAAAATAAATGAAACATTAGACAGACCAGCAAACCTCTATGGTATGTCTAGTTTGGAAGATCAAATTAACCAATTGAAGCAACAAGTCAATAAATTAACAACAGAACTCAAGAACAAGCCACAGAAGCAAGGATCTTCACAGTCCACTAATGAAAATTGTTGGTACCACGAAAACTTTGGGAAGAAAGCAAAGAAGTGTGAAAAACCATGTAAATTTATGGGAAACGAAGCAGGGAGTCGATAGATGCGGCAATTCGATCTCCTACAACACCAAGCCGCCTTTTTATATCAGACAAGAAATTTAGATTACAGTTTCTAATTGATACTGGCGCAGATGTCAGTGTCCTTCCGTTATCAAGGTTCCCAGGCAATTCTGATCCAAATTTCAGTCTTTTATCAGCCAATGGATCACTAATTAAAACTTTTGGCAAGAAGGAATTAACTATCGATCTCAATTTAAACAGAAAATTTACGTGGACGTTCGTTATAGCACAAGTTACCCATGCTATCATTGGAGCTGATTTTTTGGCCCATTTTGGTATTCAAGTTGATCTAAAACACAGAAAACTTATTGATTCTTATACTACAACAACACAATACTGCCAAGTCAGAGACACAGAAGTTTTGGGTGTAAAGGCTATCCATTTAGCAGATATCATTACAGAATTGTTAACAAAATATTCAAATATACTTGGACCCATTTGTCAAACACAAACTGAAATAAATACCTTTCATTTTATTGAAACAAAAGGCCCACCTGTCTATTCAAAACCCAGACGTTTATCACCAGATAAATTATCTATTGCTAAAGAAGAATTCCAAAAGCTCATTGAACAGGGTATTTTACGACCATCGTCATCTAACTGGGCAAGTCCATTACATTTGACTAAGAAGAAAAATGGTACTTGGAGAGTTTGTGGCGATTATCGTCGACTCAACGCAGTCACGAAACCTGATCGCTACCCTATTCCACACATACAAGACATAACATATGATTTACACAACAAAGCATATTCTCAACCATTGATTTAACTCAAGCATTTCACCAAATTCCAGTTAACACGGATGATATTCCAAGACAGCAATTATCACTCCTTTTGGTCTATTTGAGTATGTAAAAATGCCATTTGGTTTACGGAATGCAGCACAAACCCTGCAGAGATTCATGGACCACATTTTTCGAGACCTTTCATACGTCTATGTTTACATCGACGATATTCTTATCGCATCCAGAACTCGTGAAGAACATCAACAACACTTAGACACTGTTTTCAACAGACTTTCAAAATATTGTCTCACAATCAATTTAGAAAAATGTAAATTTGGCGAAAAAGAAGTAACATTTCTAGGAACCATAATCACATCTAAAGGAATAAGACCATTACCTGAAAAAGTAGAAGCCATTAGAAATTTTCCGAATCCAACAACAATCCAGGAACTTCGACAATTTTTGGGCATGATCAATTTCTATAGAAGATGGTTACCTAATGCTGCTCAAGAAATGTTACCCCTGACTAATTTGTTACAAAATGTAAAATCAAAATCAGCTAAAATAGATTGGAATCAAGAACTCGAAGACGCTTTTAAGAAAATAAAACAATTGTTAGCAGATTCAACAGAACTAATCTATCCTGACCCAAATGACAAATTAGCTCTAGCAGTAGATGCTTCCAGCAAAGCTATTGGAGGAGTTATACATCAAGCTACTCAACATGGAATAGTACGACCTATTTCATTCTTTTCCAGAAAACTGTCCACCACTGAACAAAACTACAGCACATATGATAGAGAGTTATTGGCAATGTATAGTGGTGTGCAGCAGTTTCGTCATTTCTTGGAAGGAAGGGAATTTACAATTTACACCGACCAGAAACCCTTAATGTATGCCTTTAAACAAAAGCATGAAAAAGCTTCTCCACGCCAAATCAGACAATTAACATTTATTAGTCAATTTACCACTGACATCCAACATATAAAAGGAATAGAAAACATAGTAGCAGATGTTTTATCCAGACCAACCATTTGTACCATAGAGCAGATCAATTACAATGACATTGCAAGCAAACAAAAAGAAGACCAGAATTTACTAAATATTATAAACAAAACAGTCAAATCCAGTTTGCAACTTCAACTTATCAAACTTCCAGACAGCGATGAACCATTATACTGTGATTTAACTGACCAAAGAATCAGACCTTATATTCCACAGGACTACACAAAAAGAATTTTCAGAAAGTTTCACGATATTTCACATCCAGGGCAACGTGCAAGTCAAAAATTAATATCAAGCAGATTTGTTTGGACAAATATGAGAAAGGATATTAATATCTGGGTAAAAGAATGTATTAAGTGCCAAAGATCCAAAGTAAACAAACATACCCATTCACCATTACTTAAAATTGAGGTACCTAAGCAAAGATTTTCTCATATACACATGGACATTGTAGGACCATTACCACCTTCCAATGATTATAAATACTTATTAACAATAATTGATAGATTTACTAGATGGCCAGAAGCGATACCTATCAAAGAAATAACAAGTGAAAATGTTGCAAAAGAATTGATAGAAAAGTGGATTGCAAGATTTGGAATACCTCAGAAAATAACTACAGATAGAGGTAGGCAATTCGAATCGTACTTATTCAAACATCTCACTAATTTACTGGGCATTACTCATATCAAAACCACTGCTTATCACCCTCAAGGCAATGGAATGATTGAACGTTTTCATAAGACACTTAAAAATGCCTTAATAGCAACAAATAACACTAAATGGACTGAGAGTTTACCACTAATCCTACTTAGTATACGAAACACTTTAAAAGAAGACATACATAGTACAGCAGCCGAAATGGTTTATGGCACAACACTAATGCTACCAGGTGAAATTTTCAGCAGTTCCCAACAACAAATCGATGAAGTGGATTTCATTAAGAAACTAAGAACAACAATGAGGGACTTGAAACCAGTCAACGCAAGCAACCATGCCAATCACAGACCATTCGTGCATTCGGATCTTTTGCAAACGCCTTGCGTTTTTGTAAGACAGGACCAAGTAAGACCACCTTTATCTCCACCATATGCTGGTCCATTCAAGGTATTGTTCAGGAACGAAAAATTTTTCAAGATAGATGTCAATGGGCGTACAGAAAGTATATCAGTAGATAGATTGAAGCCAGCATATGTTTCCAATAGCAGAGAAATACAGGGAGAACATTCTTATGCATTACCATACCTAGAAGAAATATCAAGCATAGAAACATCAAGAAAAGATGCCACCCGCCATTGTCAAGAAAAAGACGCCCTTTCACCATATCAAGAAAATTACTCTCAAGGCCGCCACTTCCAGATGTATCGTAAATTCACCGTTGGCGAACTCACTACGGGGGGGCTATGTGGCGGATCGATATCGACAATCCCATCCATGCTAGGGCTGTGCATAGAATCCCGAGCGAAGTCTATCGGTGCCAAGAAGAAAAGAAGAAGAAGAGCGGCATCGGCTGACAAATAAGACATAACGTGTTTTTCAATAATTATTTTATTGTAGAATAATTATTTAGTTGTGTAATTAAAGAGCAGATTGAACACGTCCCTTTATCATGGTACAAAGAATACAAGGTATGATATTGCGCAGGTTGGTCGCTACGTCACAGGTGATAACAGGCGCTATTGGTCAGCACGCTCCGCGCGCCAGTTCAAATCGTCAAGATATTGTTATAAACCTGTTTTTTTTTTGTTTATATACCGTCATTGAATTATCGCTAAGCAAGTTACTGTGGAGCAGTGCATAAGGAGTCGGGCTAGGAAGCGAGAGACCGGAGTTCGAATCTCGGCCGGAACATCACTTTTTATTTATTTTTTAAATACTGTTGTATTCTATATTTTATTTTTGAAGTATAAAAAAAAGAATTATTTATTCTGTTATTTTTTAATCTCCGTTATTAATATAAATTGATTGTTAGTACAATACCTCATTTAATATAAAATAATATTCTACTTTTTGAAATGTATCGGGCCCTAATTGTACCTAAAAGTAATATATTTTTAGTGATATACCATATTGTAAACTATTTAATATTTCAGTCACTTAAAAAGTTAATTTGCATTGAATAATTGCCTACCATTAAAGGAAATTTGAGCTATATAACCCTTGATGGGCATATTCTGGGTATGCAAATACTTACTTTAAATTTTGGGTGTCGTTCAACCGATTTATTCTCAAAACCAGAAACATCTACATATAAAAAGAAGCACAGGTCACTAATTATAATAAACTTCACCCTTGGTATTACTTCTATCACAATTACAATACGTTCATCTGCATTGGCATTTTCTACTTTTCGATGGGAAACAATAAACTTCCCAACATTTTTTAAATGATGTAACAATTCCTCTTGTGGTTACTTTTCCATAGATATCCTCATCTCTGTCCTCATGTGAATTCAGAGGCAATAAAAATGAAAATTATTTACCATAAACATCGCAAACTAAAAACCTAATAAACAATTTTATACCGAATATAGAAATAAATTTAGTATTTTTACCTAGTATCGTCCAAATCCATGTTAATAGATAATTATTATTTTTAAATATATTTTTGGAACTGCTGGTTTTAGTAATTATTAAATTAAACGAACTAAAAAGTCTTAAAAATAAACAATTCTTAACCATAACCCCAAAAATGCAGATCTCCTGTCAACTTTCTTTATTTTTTATTTATTCATTATTTTCCTAGTGACGTCACAGGTGGTATGCGCGAACTGAACGAAATTGGAGCCGCTATCGATCATACCTTGTATTCTTTGTACCATGTCCCTTTATTTTATGGACTTTTGAGTTGTGAAAAATCTAAACAGTAAACCCAGCTGATTTCAGATTATCATATTCACACCCAGAACAACCATAACATAACTTTTAGGGTTATGTCCTAATTCTTTCCTCTTTTAGGTCTTTTTTTATTAGTGGCAATTGCACAATATGGATATTTTTTTGTATGGCGTATGACGTCACAGGTGGTATGCGCAAACTTAACGAAATTGGGGCCCCTATCGATCATACCTTGTTTTCTTTGTACCATGAAGTTCATCAGACTGAAGGGAACAGCCATTCGACGACCGGTTTCGGAGTTTTATCTCCATCGTCAGGCCGACTTTACTGTAACCCTCAGTATGACAAACGAAAAGCAGAGAATAGCATTTGAGTACAAAACGTACTACTATGGAAAGCGCTAGACGCTCTCGCCATCTAGAGGTAGCTGTGACAACCACAGATCGTACCGCCAAAATTAAAACCAGCAGCCTACTGGACAAACATGCTTGCTTTATCCACGTTACCGTAGATGGAGCTGAAAGTTAGGTAGGGTATATATAAACAAACAAAATACAAGAAGCGGAAAAGGGGCCAGAGATGGAGATAAATCTCCGAAACCGGTCGTCGAATGGCTGTTCCCTTCAGTCTGATGAATTAATGCAGAGAATAAGCATATATGTAGCGTTTTTTGGCCCCTTTTCCACTTCTTGTATTTTGTTTGTTTATATATACCCTACCTAACCTTCAGCTCCATCTACGGTAACGTGGATGAAGCAAGCATGTTTGTCCAGTAGGCCGCTGGTTTTAATTTTGGCAGTACGATCTGTGATTGTCACAGCTACCGCTAGATGGCGAGAGCGTCTAGCGCTTTCCATAGTAGTACGTTTTGTACTCAAATGCTATTCTCTGCTTTTCCTTTGTCATACTGAGGGTTACAGCAAAGTCTTTTAGTATAAAAAAGCTTATCAGATATATTTTTTTGGTTGAAAAGTCACTTCTAAACCCTGAAAAGTAAAGGAGCCAACGAGTCGGAAGCACTCCTATAATTTATCTGCTCTTTATTTTATTTCGGTAGAACCTATGTCTACTGTCAACTGACCCTTTTAACGGCCCAAGTAAATCTCGTTCGCGTTCCAGGGCTCGTCCAATAAATAAATCGTCCTCGCTCCACGAGGGAAAATCGCTGAGGAGGGTAGTTGTTTACCAATCAAGAAAGTGAG